GTATCCTTTAAATAATCTTGATTAGAATCAGTTATTGATTCAAGAAAATCGATATTTACACAATTTATTGGATTCGTCAAGAAGATTTCGAGATTCCAGCGAGATACAATCGAATCGAAGAATCATAAGCCATTTTTTTCGAATGTATAGTTTTCATTTATATAATTTTATTTATATATATATATATATATATATATAAATAAAATTATATATATATATATATATAAATAATTTTCATTCGATGTCTTCTCGAGATTTTGTCGATCGAAATTCAAGGAAATATCTCGTCGTGTGTTCGAGCGTCGACGATCGCTCGAATTGAAAACAACAACAAGAAGGTGAACGCGAGGAGCGTTCGTGTAGGACCATTCGTTTGTCGCATTTCGTTTCTGACTCGCGTCGAGATCGCACGATCGGATTTTCACGAGAGTTGGCAAACAGCTCGACTGCCATCGATTCTCTATCACCACGAAGATCGATCCTATCGTATCGTATTTTTATATAATTTTTTTTAATGATTATAAATTTAATAAATTAATCATTGATATTTTAATATTGTTTTAATAAATAAAAAAATGGAATTGCTAATAAAAAAAATAGGAAAATAAAATTTTTAAGATTTTAAATGCGACGATCTGTCATTGTTTTTTACAAGACAAATGTGTTTTTCGCGAAACAACGATAAACAAATTCGATTTATAAAAGAAACGAAATTCCATTCCATAATAATCAAGAAAGGTTATGTTCGTTATTTTAATTTCTATTATTTAAAATTAAAATAAAATATAGAAATTCATTAATTCATCAAATAAAATTTTTTTCAAAATATTCAAGAACAAATTGGATCGATTCTTTGTGGCGTTCGATCATCAAAGAGTAATTTTCGGAAATAACAAGGACAGAATTTACAAGGCCGAGGACTTGATTACAGTGCAACGAATTGCCCATATAGAAAAATGGACGAAGTGTTATAGCAAAAATGTTTTTACCCCCCTCATCTTTCTTTTGTTCTAATAATAATCATAATAATGATCATATTAATAATCATAATATATATATATATATATATATTTAATAATATATATTTAATAATATGTATATATTTAATAAATATATATATATATTTCTTTATTTCTTTATTTTTCGCTGGATAGCTATTATATAGATTCTCTTAATTATTTTCACAAAAATTTCGATCACGGCTTCTTCGATCGTCGCTACGATCATAGTCGTCGTCGTAATTTTTCTTTCCTTTTCTTTTTTTATCTTTCTTTTTCAACAAAAAAGATGTATTCTCGCTTGCATCGTTTTTTTTTTTAATTTTAATTTTAGAAAAAAAGATTAAGAGATAAATTTCAGAGTAAAAATGGCTTCTGTTTGTTTCGTTTCTTTCCGAAATCGGAAAAATCTATTTTACGTTTTTTCACGAAACGAAGAAGCGAAAGAAATAAAGACGCAGCAACGTTACGAGTGTATAAACGCGTCGTTGACGAATGAAAGTCGACGACGACGACGACGACGACGACGACAACGACCCGTGTCGCGACGCTCTCTACTCGAGCACGGCGATAATCCATTATTGCAAAGTAGCTGATATATAAAAAATCGTAATATCACATGTTTATCATATCTTCTTTTATCGCGTTGTCCGTTCTCGCAGCATCACATCCGACAATGACCCGCTTTGTCGGCGTTTCGACACGACATCAATCGCATTTCTTTATCTCCGCCATTTTCGATTTTTTTCGATTCTCTATCGATAAATCGATTGAGACGTTCGTGCGTGCATTGGAAACAAACATGTTGGAGAAAAGCGCTTGTGTCGCGATTGTTAGAGACGCGGATCGATCCACGCTGATCCAACGACTCCAATATAACGGACCAATAAGTCGATTCGTCCATCTCGATGTTTCGTGACATTTTCGTTCGAGTTTCACCGTTTCAAAACTTGATTTGTTGCGAATCCTCTCCTGGAATGTTTCTCGGATCTTATGGAATACCATTTGGAAAATGGAATGTAAATTGGGGAATGTAATGGAACCGATATGGTTTTTCGAGGTTGAATGTCGTCAGTCTTCGATATTTTCGATGCAACAGTTTATCGAATCTTTAATGATCGACTTATAGTCACCAATGGAGCCGTTTCACGAGGGGGACGAGGACACGTGCGCGAGAAAAACGAGCTTCCAAGGTTAGTGAATAAGAGCAAGCAAATTTTTCCACGATTCCAATATACGATATTAAAATTTGAATTTCTGATTAATTTTTTTTTTTTTTTTTTTTTTTTAGGAAAACAAAAAAATAAGATTTTTTTTCCGAGATCAATTTTCGCGAATACAACAAATATAACGGGTATGGCTCGGAATCGCGGGTCGATCGACCGGACAAACAACGTTAAAAAGAAGCAAAACGCATCGTTCCCGACGATAATATTCGATCGACGCGCGTCACCTGTCGCAAACGTTTCAACAGCATGTTAAACTTTCACATTCGTTTTAAAGTGTATAGAAACTACGATAGAGCCAGCTATATCGTCACCGCCGCTAAAACCTAATTAACAATGTCCTCTCGTAAACTGTTCGATAATTTTTTTTTTTTTTTTCATATATCTTTTGCTTTCTTCTCGATAGCATCGTGAAATTAGAACTATTTCTGTATCTTTCTTGTACGCTCTCTTTTCGTTTTTTCACGCATACACAAATATACAGACATACTCTTACATACTCTCTTTCATTTTTTTTTTTTTTTTTTTTTTAATCAGCCCTATTTAATATTTATAATATTTACACGCATAGATATCCCTGTCAGCGCGTTTGCCCATGTTCCCTTCTTTTTTTTTTTTTTTTTTTTTTTCTTCATTTATTCTCATTTCGAATCGTCGCGGATCAGTCGGATATACTCGGTCTCGACGATCCGTAATTCCGTTTAATCCATATTGTCCCTCTATTAATCCTACAAATTTAAAGTGCATCGCGCGAAGTGTGGACCGAATATTATTTATTTATTTATTTATTTCAATAACGATTAAAAAGCGATTTTTTTGATTTAATTTAATTTGCAAAATTTATGAGTAATTTTTTTTTTGTCGATAAAAGTAAAGAAAAGTAAACGCGTTTCGCCTAGATCAGCCATGTTTATTTTGGATCGTCGAGATTCCGTTTCATGTTTAATGTACATGAGGGGGAATCGCGGCTTGGATAAATAATATTATTAACAATATTAAAAGCTCTTCTCGCATCAGTTCGTCTAAATATGTCCGCTTAAGCTAACGAAATATATATATATATATATTTATTCAGAGGCTTATTCGATTAATCGCGATTTTTTTTCTATTCATGAGATCAGTACTTTCCATCTTTGATTGTCCTTCATAAATTGTGTATTTTATTCACAATTCTTTCTCGAGGCGACAGCAACATAAATATAACATATACATATATATGTATTTTATATCTGTGATCAAAGTGTAAAATTTGATATTTATTATATCAAATTTTTTTTTTTAATTTTTGCAGTACGATTATAAAAAGTTGTTATGTTTAAAAAAAATACAATCTGTCTTTCTTGTTCTATTTTTTTAAACCACAAATAATAAAGAGATAATATTTTTTTTTGCAAAATAATGACACGTGAAAAAGCATATATCTCAATTTCAATGTGAAAAAAGTAACATATCAGGTTCTGCCGTGAGCATGGATATAAACTGTTTTTTTATCGATCCGTTTGTCCGTTTGTGTATGCGTGTGTGTGGATGCGAATGTTATTGCTTGCTCGATGGGAAATTTTGTTCGAGATGGAACGCTGCGCCGAAAACCGAGAAAGAATTAAATCGAAAAGAAACAATAAATAGCATGCTAATTCTTTTTTTATTTTTATTTTTTTTTCTTTCTCTCTCTTTTTTCTCGTTGCAAACGCGTTGACACGAATCACGCGTCATTTTTCATCCTTGCTTCTATATATATATATATATATATATGTATGTACGAATATATATACACGCGTCGTAGTTACAAGATATATATATATACACCTAATATTGCTGTTTGGCTTTCGTGAATGCCATGTGAACGCGGGATTAGGTCATGTTTTGCAATGTAACAAATTGTACGGAATCTTTTTAAATTTTCATAATGGTTTCAGACACGTCTTCACCGTCACAAAAGCTGCATACTTCGAATTCGGTCAAAATGCGAGCAGAATTTTTATTTTTTTTTACTTATTTATTCTTATATCTTCTTTCTTCATTTTTTTTTTTTTTTTAATATTTAATTGTCGTATATTTGTCGTACAAGAATGCAGCCATTCGAGGCGTAGCCGAATTGACTTTTAACAATTTATAATTGTTTATATTATCGTCGCGTCTCGGAATTATTTCGAGAACCATTATCAAATGAAACGTCTTTGTTTTGGATTTTATCTTATTTATTTATTTCTTTTTCTTTTTTCTTTTTTTTTTTTTTTTAACGCGTCAAATGATAAAGCTGAGACAACGAGGAGGAACAATAACGTTCAATAAGCTTAAAAAAATAAGGATGACTTTTTTTTTGTCTGGTAGTTTCTAGGCACCTACGAGAACTTTTTGCTTTTCTTTTCCTTTTTTTTTTTTTTCTCTCGATATACTTTGAATTCTTCCTCATTACATAGCTTTATCTTTGAATAACACGATAATATTTTCTTCAAGACGTTTAAAAGGATCATGGTCCACGAATCGTTTTATAAACGAGATCTTCTCAAAAGAGTAATGAGAATACTTTCTGACGGGAAAAAATGTGACACGAGAGTATGGACTATAGGAGCACTTTTTATATATCAGTTTTTAAATAAATCTATATAAAAAAGAAAAAAAAAAAAGGAAAAATAAAATAGATAAATTTTATATCTCTTATCGATTTTATATTATTATGTTTATTATTTATACTTATATTTTATATTAATAATGTAAAAAAAAAGTCAATGAACAGTCTAAAAATAAAAATAAAAATAAAAATAATTTAATTTAAAACTTAATTAATTAGTTAAACTTAAGCAAGCACAGCCATATAAAGTATAAAATCAATAAAATCAATAATAATCAATAAAAATCGATAATAGTTCTCCCAAGGTTCACTGCAACGAATTTTCTCAAAAATTTACATACTCGTAACCGATTTTGGTCACGTATGCACACGCACTCATAAATACATACACACGCGCTCATAAATACACACAAGCACACATAGTTTACAATAAGACTGAACTATTGAAAAAAACCATCGATCAACATTTCCGCGCTCGCCAATTCCTTTTTTGCGAAGTTATCGAATGAAATAGATAAAAAAAATAAAAATAAAAAGAAATTATGAAAAACGGAAGAACATGATGTAGCGATAGCGAAGCAATGATAAAACATATTTTCATTTCGAGTCACGGAGTCGATTATCTAAAAATTAAAAAATTAAAACGCGATAATTGCCTTGCGATTCCCTTTCCATATTCTCGATCGATTTTTCAAAATTTTTTTACATTTACTGCTTAACCGATAAATTCAAAACGTTTCGGGCAATTATAGAATTTTGCTTAAATCATTAGAGAATTGGAATGTTTATCAAAAAATTATTTTTTTCAATAGAATGAATCGAAAACTGATCGAGAATTAATTTTTAGTTTTTACCTAACCTCATTTTCACTTTCTCCACTGCTTCTCTGACGACACCTGTTATTTCCTTTCCAAATTATTTTTCCTTTATTATTTATCTTCACACACTTTTTTCCTTTCGTTTGTTTTTCTATTTCTTGTTTTCTTTTGTTGTTGTTGTTGTTGTTGTTGTTGTTGTTGTTGTTGGTTGTTAATGTTACTTAAAATCTATCGCGCTCAATCACGAATCTAGCTGAGATCCCCTAAAAATGCGTGTAAACCTACGATTACAGTGTGTGTTAACGTTACATGTTACAACGTGAGTATTTTGAATGTTAGTTTTTCATCCTCTCGTTTATAACGTTTCGATGTCTCGAAGAAGCCGTCGCAAGCAGTATATAATTCGATATACTTTTTTATGTTTTTCTTTTTTCTTTGATACTTTTTTTATTTTTTAATCGCTTGTTTTTGGCCATGCAAAAATATGCCAAGTTCTGTTATAGTAGCGGGACCGTTTTTCATCGGCACGAACACCTTTTTCCCTATATTTTTCTTTCTTCTTCTTTTCTCTCTTTTTTTCATTTTTTATTTTTTTCCATTCTGTTTCTATCATTCTGTTTCTAACTTTCACTTTTTTCTCTCAGAGTCAGGCTCATTTCTCGCGTGTACCGACGAATAATCTCGTTAAAGACCAGACGCGAAGCGAGTAGCGATAATGCAGCATGTTTTTAAAATGTACACAGTGAAATTTTACAGATAAATTATGCCTTTACTCGTCTCATTTTGTTAAAAAGAGTTCGCTAAAATAGTCATTCTCTTTGTCTAATCACTTGTTTAAACTTCTCTCATTTTTTCGAATAATCACAAATTCTACAATCCTCGATACTCATTTACTTCCAATAACTCGCATTTCCTTTTCGCACGACTAACTTTCAAAATACATATTCTTTACTTCTTTCTCCATCGTTGCTCAAATCGGACAATCTTATCGAAACCATGCAAAACCCTGTCAAATTCGCATCTATTATAATTCTAATCTTTGAAAATGAAAATATTCCATAAAACGGCAATTCCTTCCTGCGATTCTCGCTAGAAGAAGATCAGTCTCGAGACGACCGCCCGGAGCCTTAAGAACTTTCACAAGTACTCTCTGGGCCTGGGCGGAGGCCTCTTTCTGTCGGACCTTTCGCTTCTGTCTGTCGTCGTGGCGCTCTGTTCCCTATCGTCGGTGCACTCGAGCATCTGCGTTGTCTCTGTCGCTTCCGAAGGGCTGATCGGTTGACTGGCTAACGGAGCCAACGGTGCAGCCCCCTTGTTTCTCGATTTGCTTCTTCGCTTTCTCAATATCAAAGGTCCAAGAGGTGTACCGTCGTCCCCCCTGGAAGTAGTCGCCTGGGCCAGTCTTTCCAATAATTCTTTGCTCACTTCCCTCGAGGAGGTCTTGTAATCACTTTCCTTCAACCTGTCCGACTGAGATTGATGATGATGATGATGATGATGATGGTGCTCCTGGGACTTGGACATTCTTTCAGTGGTTGTCCCCTGCTCCCTGTAAACTTCACCTCCGCTCGTCGAGGTGGACGTAGAAACCTTCTGTTCCCCGATCACGCCTCCTCCCGACGTTTGAGTAGCTTGGGAGCCTTGTTGGCAGCTCGAGCCTCCCTGTGGCTGGCCGCCCGATTGATTCTGCGACGAACCACCGTTACCACCCGTCGAAAAATTGTTCGTGCTCTTTTGCTGCTGCGGGCTGGCCGCGGGCAACCTGTTCATCAACGTTTGGAGCATGTCCTCGATTTTTGCCAACCTCTGGTTCACTCGTTGTACTTCCAGCTTTAGATCCACTTTCACCTCGAGGACAGCGGCTAGAATTTCGCGATCGTGGCTCGGTTGAGTGGTGATCAATCCATCGTCGTAACTTTCCAATCGGCGAAGTTGAAGTTGTTTCGAATCCGCGACATTTTGTTGCTGTTGTTGTTGCAGTTGTTGGCTCTCCTTCGCAGTTTCCGCATCCCCTGTTTCCTCTATGGTGCCGCTCAACTTGCCAAACTTGGGAAACACTTTATTGCTACCGGCACTTGAGCTAGGACGGGCATCTCTCGCGCTTAAAGAACGTTTGAACGTGTCCACGCCAGTTCCTGTTTCGCTTCCAGAGTCCAAGCTGGAGCTTCCTACAAAAAAATGTGATGAGATTCGTTTTGTTCGTTAAACGATTCGATAAATTTATCGAATGGATAAAAATAAAAGAGAAACTTAATTTTGTTTCCTAACCTAAAAGCCGTCCCCATTTTCCAGCTCGCCCCCCCTTGACCACAGTGTTGTCATCCGCGATGGATACCTTCCTGCTGTGCGAGGACTCGCCTTCTTTTCCCTCCTTTCCATCTTTTCCATCACCCTTCTCCACGTCGGCAGTGTGTCTCTCTCTGCGGAACCTGAATAGAAAAGAGTAGAGAGCGAGAACGCCCGTGTTTAGTCCCCTTCGACATGACACGTTTTCGTCTATTTACATTACTGGGGTTAAAAGGCCAGTTTCACTAGGCAATTAATTAAATAAAGGGAGGAATAATAAGAATACATGGTGTATACAAAAATTATATATGAAGTGGGAGAATAATATTGTACAAATATTCTTTTTTTTTTTTTTTTTTTTTTTGAAGAGTTTGGGATACCATAAAACTTTTGTGACCCACGATCATATTTGATGAGGCGAACGTGATCGCCATTCTGCGTCATTTATTTTTATTCTCATTTCTTTTTTCTTTTTTGAAAGAGTATACAAAATATATATAAATTTATATGTACAAGTATTTATATATATTTTATATAAAGACATATGTGGTTTGATATTTTAGGGTCAAGCAATTAGTTAAGTTTTTTTTCTTTGTTTTAACATAGAAATGGTCATGTTTTCAGTGAGTCAAATTCGTTCTACAGAGGCCAGAAAAAGGGAGACAGCTCCAGCGGTGTTCACGAGCAACCTACTTTGATGTGCCTACGGGATTCGAAAAAAAATATTCTTAATGGTGATAAGATGCCGGTAAAACATACAGGAAAACCTGGCGACGTCGATGAACCAATTGTGGCCTGGAATTTTACAAAAAAAGAAAAAAGAAAAAAAATTGAAAAAAGAAAGAAAAATGAAAAGAGAGAAAAAATAGAATAGATAGAAAGAAAAACAGATAGAAGATAGAAAGAGAATAGCAGAAAAGAAAAGGAAAAGATATGCGCGAATTATAACGAAGATACAGAAGACAAACGTGATCTCGTAACGATAACGAGAACAAAGTTTGTCGTGTTCGTTGACAAAAGTTTGACTTCTTACCGTGTAAGATATGACTGCCATTTTTATTCGAGGTACAAGGCTTTTGGATATTCTTCGATGAAAAATCAGAGCACGTTATCGCGGTACTTTTCAGCTTGGCCGACTTAGAAACTCTCTGTTCGAATCATAATTACACTGTCTGTCCATTGGGAGCATCAAAGTTTAAATTATCGGTTATGCACTGTCGTATCCCGATGGGATACAAACTGAGAATAATAAATCAAAGTAAATAGGTAAGCAGTGTCCGGCACGCGTATCCTTTCATGTTACATTATCCCTGGGAAATAGGATTGTCCCGGAATAAGCGAATTAAAATAAGAAAAAATTTTGAATATTAAAATTTTGAAAGACTTTTTCTATCGATGCACGCAGTTGAGAATCATTCGAGACTTCGGAACGAATCGGAAAAGTTCGGATGGATCGGAAGAATTCGGGTCGATCGGAAAAATTCGGGTAAGATCGGATCAGAATATCAAAGATGGCGAATGTATGGTGAAACATAATTTGTGTCTTTTTAATTGTAAAGTATTTTTGTAACATTTTCCGCAAATTTTGAACAGTTTTTTGAATGATCGTAATAAATTGTTAAATCAAAATTATTAATCACTTTTTATAAGTATCAAGGAGGATCAAATATCAAATAATGCGTAATGAGATTCTGGTCGGCCCCAATCGTGGTTCATCGACGCAATTATTCGATGACAGTTATAATGATAACGAGCTGCCTGATCAACTGTGGGAATGCCATCCACTGTTCGACCCGATTCGATAACGAAAGAGAAGGAACAGAAAAAATAAAAAAAACGGAACGATGTGGACCGCCTCGTATGTTCTAATCACTTCGTAAGTCTAAAATCGTATCAATCATTATTATAAAAGTACTCTATGAGTCTATCATGCACGCAACATGCCGCGGCCGAGGCTTCTAAAAAAGATTGATTAAAAAATAATGAATTCGAATTGTTAGAAATCGTTGGCAGTCTGGTAGTTTTTCAAGCAGCTACTTGGCATCGTTGTATATACGTATATATATACATATATGTAAAATATGTAGATATATACATATAAGAATATAGGTGACAAAGAGAAATTTGAATCCTAGAGTGTGTACGTCACATGCATTCGGCGTTGCATAAAATCGTAAAAGAATCAGATGCTCGACGCACGATTGAGGACTTTCGTATTCCTTTCATAAAGATTTGAAAACAATATTTGTTTTTTATGAATAGACGTAATTAATATATAAATATTATAATAAATTCATAATGTTATAACTTTTTATAATAAATTCGCTTCTTATAAATATTCATTATATTATTTTTATAAGCTTTAGAGAAACGTGCTATTTTATATAAGAGAAAATAAAACAACACGTTTGTTCTCAAATTAAGGGAACGGTTAAAAAATTGACAAAAGAAATACAGAGTCCTCGAATTCGCTCTATACAAATCTTGGTTCCACTAAGAATATATTCGTATATATGTATATAGTATATATATATATATATATATATATATATATATATATTATATTATATATATATATTTATGGTGGGAGAAAGATGCGCATAACCCTCTAAAGCCGTATATCTTACAGCACTCTAGCATTCGTCAGAACTGCAGTGATCGTCAAAAATGACAAAGATTGTATAATGGCACCGGGTGATATGTACGTATCTGGAAACGATGCGATGTTCCTGGACAAATCGATTTTGAATTTTAATTTTTCGTTATAGAAAATTAACGGATGATTAAAAATATCAGAGAGAAAAAAAAAAAGAAAATAATTTTGCAATTTAATTAATTTTCTCAATTTTAACTTAATTATTTATTTAATTTAAAGATTTCTTCTTCTGATTCTAATAAATTTTAAAGATTCGTTTTTTAAAGATTCGTTTTATCATTAAAAAAAATAAATTAATAAAAGAATCTTAAAAAGTATTATGACGATATTGAAATAAAATAAAATAAAATAAAATCTCACGAGAGATCAATTTCAACGAACAAATCAATTTATAAATTTGAATTGGTTTCTTTTTTTTTTTAATTACGAAATAAAACTTTGAAAATAAATGCTGTCGAACAGTCAAAATTCAAGAAAACCATTAAATGGAAACATCGAAGAAGAAAAATGGAGAAAAAAAATGGGAAAAAGTGTCTGAATCGGGAATTCGATTTACCCAGGTTATTTCGTAAACGTGCTGAGTGAGAATACATATTATTAGTTTCTCTTTCAAGCGTGTATACAGCGTTTGCACATCCGTAATACCCTTCGAAATCTTTTTCTCGAGAAATGCGTTATCGATTGCTCCCGGAGGAGACGCGCGAGTTGTAAGATCGGTATACGACACGACTAGAAGAAGAATAGGAAATAATAATAGTAGTAGTAGTAGTAGTGATAGTAGTAGTAGTAGTAGTAGTAGTAATAGTAGTAGTAGAGGAGGAAGAAGAAAAAAAAGAAGTAGAAGTAGAAGAATAAAAAACGATCTCGCGGGTCGCATTTTTTTCGTTCAGTTTGATTTTATCCGAAATGTTTTTTTTTTTTTTTTTGATTTCACGATACATGAATGGAATAAAAATTCAGCCACGGTCCATCGTTGTCGAAAGCCACTCGTCTCGAAGTCGATCTAAAAAAAAAAAGTACTATTTTCCTCGAATCACGATAAATCTCTCGATAAAAAATGTTCACGCTCTCTCAACAATTACTCGTCCGTGTTATAAGCAATTTTAGGCCTGGTATACCTGTACAAAATCGACCCGTATAATAAATATATACATATATACATAAATATACACATATTTATACCATGATATAGAATATACCATAATATGATTCTAATAATCATATATTAAAATTTCTACAAAATGTACAATGTATGTACAAAGTGATATATGTATATATTTATATCACCTATCTAGAGAAAAATCACAATTGAGAACAGTAATAAAAATATAGTTATAACGATATTATAATTAACGATGGTTAATATAATCATAATGAGAAGAATAATTAATCGAATTAATTATAAATATATAGAGTAATAATAATGAATAATATAAGAGTGTATACGCGTAAAAAGTAGCAAAGATGGCAATAAAAAAGAATGAAGAAAGATAAATAAATACGTAAGAAATGAAATTGCCTAAAACTGGGCCAGGGCGGCAGGACGTTCACGGTGAGCTCCTCGTCAGAATCCTGGGACCGTCCATTCGCGGCCCTGCTCACGCCAACGATCTGGGCATCCCCGTCAGTCTTGAACCTTTACGGACAACAGGCCAGCCAAGCAACGATCAACAATCAACAATTTACCAGAACATACGATACGAAAATTTCTAATTTTACTTTTTTTTTTTCTTATTTTCTTTTATTCATATACTTTTTCCTATGTGTCGTAAATAATTTCTCTCTTTCCTTTCTCTCCCTCTCTCTCGCACACTTTCACACTTGTGTTTTTGTTTCGTAATGTTAGTCGTGAATTTAGTAACTTATAATTATAGTGCATGAATATTTGTTATTGTACGTATGTATTTCATTTATTTTTTTGTTTTTTTTTTATCTTTCTTCTTATTATATTATATTATATTATTTTATTCTTTGTTCAATTATCGGTGAAAAAAATTCAAACGAAAAAAAAATGCACACGTACAAAAGAAAAATTTATATATTCATTCGAGATCGTTCATACGAGCTCATTCTCACTTCTCGTTCTCTCGTTCGACATTCTTAGCGAAATTGTGATAAAAAATATACATATATGTGATAAAAAATATTCATATATATTCGCCTATTGAATTTGCGAATACAGACCAGATGTCCACTCTGCGCGGCTTTCCACGTGGTCACACGGACGAATCGAGACTGTACGATTCATTATTTATGATGAGGATACATATTCGCTCGTAAATAAGTGCCTTTAAAATTTGCTCTGCTGAAAGGAAACAGGCTTCATCTTCATTTCAAAATCAATGTAAGTTATAAATAATAATCGAAATTATTTTGATTTATTTACAACTGAATACGCATCCATCGTAATTAATTCTAAATTTTTTTATCTCTCTCAATGTATCTTCATTCAATAAAAAAAGTCACAATATATTTTTACTATATATATAATAAAATTCGATATTTCTTGTGAAAGAATAAAAAATCATTGAGAGAGACGTTTCAAAGATATTCATTCCAGTTCGACGGGTAACAAATCTGTCCCTACCTCGAAAAAATTTTTCGCACCAGATGATCCTGCGCTTGATCTAACTGTGGCTCGTTTTTTCTTCTCTCGGCAAGCTCCTTTTCCCGACGGACATCGGCCACTTTCCGAAAAATTAGCTGCACAAAACGATTCGATTCGATTTTACACGCCTTTTTACACATATTAATTATATTAATTATTTCATGCATTCTTTTGCATTTTCTTCGATATTTGTCAAATATAGAATTTCGTTGTGAAGTATCGTGCGCTTCGAATAATTAATCAGAATAAGTGGCACATCGTAGATTGAACGATAAAAAATTATTTATGCTTCTGAGTCGTTCTTTTGTTATTAATAATCGTTTAAATATCGTTGGAGCTTTTATTGGCTTTTTTATATCCTTTATTATGTAGTGATTATTCGATTGATCGTCAACTTAATCATCCTTATGCGTTTACATCATAGGTAAAAACATTAAAATAATTCTCAAATATATTTTCCAATACCATTAACGAATCCGGAAATAGAAAAAAACTTTCATTTGTTAATTCTATTAAGAAACGAAATGATTAGTAATTTCAACATGTAACATAACTCTATGTTTTAATATTCTTTTAGTAGAATGTAGATAACTCGGGTAATTTAATCTTTTCGATAATTTAGTTTTCGATGCCGGAAAAGCATCTCTTCTCCACTATATTTCCTTTTTTCTGGGTACAGAGTTGTAGGTTAAGGGTGGGAGATGGTTTTGTTCTAGTACGCATGCGCTTCCAGAGTAGTCGATAGGCGCTCTAGGAAATAGGAGGTTACTTGTATTGTACGATTAACCTCAAAATATTTTATTTTATATCGTGTCGATTTGAAAGTCGTGAATCGTTTTTTTGATTACTTCTGTTTCGATACTTCGTTTCAGATAGTTGATGAAGAATTCTAAAAAAAGTACGCAATATTGCGTACTTATACTAATGTGATTCGTGTCGAATCCAAATTTTCGTTGAGAAAACAGAGGTATATGGATTGCTGTGGAAAGTATTTCTCGCGTTTGAAAGGTGGATAATTTTTTTTTTTATTTCTTACGAATTAACAAATTATATAAGTTTATTGTAAAATCGAGTAATTTATTGTAAAATCAATCGTCAAGTAGATCGATTTGTCAGTCATATGTTTATAATGTTTAAAAATGCTTTTTAACAATTGATTTGTGATAGTTTTATGAAACGAATTCGATAAAAATCTATCTATTTCAGATGGGTCATGGTTCAAGCCGTTCCGCTTCATCCGCAAATATTCTATCAGCGGACGAACTAACCTTGGTGGAAAATCTTTTCAAATCTATGTCTAGAAGTTCAGGTTCCATAAAACGTGAAGATATATTTAAACATTGGTCCACTCATTTGGATGATACATTATTGCAATTTGTAGTAAAATTTCTCTGTCATGAACCAGGGAAAAGAGTTTCTACTATTAATGGAGAGAATTTTGGTAGACTCTATGTGTTTGCTGTTCGTGGAAGTCCAGAAGAGAGAACTAATTTAATTTTTAATGGTTTCTCGGAAGAGGAACAGAAACACGAAATACCCACTACTACATTCCTTCAATATGTTCAAGCTACTATAAATTCCTACTTGAGATTACAAAAAAATTCTGGCAACTCACACTATTTAACATGGAGTAGCATTGGGTGTACAGTGAACACTAGAAGGATAGGAATGAGATCTAGAAGTTTATGTGAAGATCTAGTCAAATATGGAGATACTTTATCTATCGAACAAGTGGAGAATTGGTTTTCCACAGCAGCCACTTTCAAAACCATTCAATCGCATGTTTTTCAATGCCTTTTCCTCATTTCTCAAAAAAAAGGAGATAAGAATACCAGTGGTAAAATAAACGATTTGAATCTTTTGCCAGGTTGCAAGGGTTTGGAAAATATACCACACTTTCCTAGTATTCTAGGATTGGGTGATGTTTTGTTTTTGAACTTAAGTTTACCTCATGAACTTCGCAACGAATGGAGATTTCTATTTTCAAGTCAAGTGCATGGGGAATCATTTTCTACTATGCTTGGAAGAATAACTATGCAAGGTTCCACCATTATAATACTTCAAGATATGGATGATCATGTATTTGGTGGTTTTGCTTCGAATAGTTGGGCAACTGGGCCAAATTTTATAGGAAACGAATCTTCCTTTCTATTTAAACTTGAACCAGATATACTTACATTTTCTTCCACTGGGTACAATAATCATTATCAATATTTAAATCTTCATCAACAAACTATGCCTAATGGTTTACTTATGGGAGGCCAATTGAATTATCCAGGCTTGTGGTTAGATTGCGAATACGGAACTGGAAAATCGAGCGTATCCTGTACAACTTTCCAGAATTATATTCAATTAAGTGGTAAGGAGGATTTTAAAATCAAGCATTGTGAAGTGTGGGGTGTAGGTCCTATTCCGGAAATAGAAGAAGAAGAAGGACGCGATTCGAAGTCAATTTTGGACCAAGATTCTTCTTCGAAGGTCATATTGGAAATGTCTGGCCGTAAAATGTACAGCGAGGGATTACGGGAGGAAAAAGAATAATTGTGATACCAGAGATTTGTTTGAGACTTTACACAGAATGAAAAAAAAAAAAAAAGCATATCAGGCAATTAAATTTTTTATCAGCTTTTTAGAAACAAAAGGAAATCATTGTAACACAGTATTTGTAATTCAATGATAAAATAGAAAAAAGAAAAAAGATATTATCATAGCTTTCGTGGACGTTTTAACAGAGTAATAATAAAAGAAGCTTATTTTTTTTCGGTTCGCTAATTAATTTTTTCGAAGAATAAAATTCTAGAGCTCTGTAACGGCCTGATTTCTAGTACTATTGTTATTTTTGATCAACTCTACGATCGATAGAGTGATATAATACCTAAAAAATAAAAAAAAGAAAAAGAGAAAAAAATATATCGAGTTGCTGTTTTTCGAATGCCTATTATCTAGTGCCTGGTGAATCATCAATCATTTTTAATTGGACCTCTTAATACATTAAAGAAAGTTTATCAATGAGAAGAAATTTGTACAATACATATTTATTATATATACATAAGACTGTATATGTGTTATTCATATATGACTGATGGTGGTCACTGTTCACTCTATTGTCGGAAAAAAGAAACCAAAGAATTTACATTGCACTGTTCAGTATAATATTACAGAAATTCAATAAAGAATTGAAATCTTGAGATTTTTTGAATCTTATTTTAATATTTCGTTATACGTCTATCATATTTTTTCCGATTCTCCGATTTCCTGCAATCCTAATCTAACCTCGAGAAACATCAAAAATAATAAAATAATGATATACAATGATAGTCCCTTTCCATATCGCTTAATTAAGTTTAAGATAATAATTTGTAAAAAAACAAACGATATAAATAAAAAAATAAGAAAGTACTTACCCGATGACTAAGATTGTAAGTCAGAACGAGATTCCTGGCAAACGAATTGGCGAAGGCTTGGTAAAAATCCAACACCTCCAACAGTCGATCTCTCTTGATTGTGTGAAGATCGCAATAGGTCAGAGCTCGAACATTGGCAGCGCTCTGTCCCACGGACGGGTTTGTCCAGAAGCTGTCCCCAAACACGTCACCCTTACCGAGAATGGCGACCACTTCGTCGTCTTGGATTACCTCCAGGCTTCCAGTCACTATGAAACACAACGAGTCGATCGACTCGCCTGTATGATACAATAGATCACCCGGTGCGCTATGTGACATCGTGAAATGCATTGCCAGGGCGCGAAGGCAACCGTCAGAGGCCAATCTAGAAATAATCAAGAATTATTTATAACATCAACATGTTCAACTTTTCACTTTAATTACATTTATTAATCATTTCTAATAGTATTCTAATGAAACAAACTAGGCTTGCCTAAACGCAGGATGCTCGTTGAAGACTTTCCTGTTCAAATGAACGCAGATGTCCGCCTTCATATCTTTAGGGCAGTAGTTGAGTACCTTGTCAGTGTCTAGGCCCTTGGTCATCGCCCAAGTGCTCACCACATAATCCATCACGCGTTCGCTAAGAGCTTTCGGCACCTCGTGCAACTTCATGAATTCCCTCACGTTGTTCAACATATCGTGATATTTGGCCGTGGCGGATGTCATCTGTTGGATTATCGTAGTCACGTGACCAAAGATGGTGGCGTATAACAGAGCTATGGACAAAGGTTCAAATTTGTGTTTACAATTTACGAAACTTGAAAATTGCAAATTTGTAAAAAAATCCATTTTTTTAATATTGAGAAGAAAAAAAATGAAAAAAGAAAAAGTATCGTACCGGCAATGATCATCATGCAGATGGTAAAAATCTTCTCGTTGTCGGTTTCGGCGGCGACGTTACCGAATCCCACCGAAGTCATGCAAGTCATCGTGAAGTATAATGCGGTGACGTACATGGTTCTCCTGGACGGTCCCGCGACTAATTCAGGCGCGGTGCTGGTATTGGTCCACAGGTAACTGTACGGGGACTGGGTGACGTTCGCCAGCTTCCACAGCCAGGAATATTGAACTCCGTTATCGGCGTCTGACCTTCCTATCGAGTACCTTTAACGCAACGACGCTTCTTACATTCCTTGTGACATTCGACCTTTAGCCTCTACCAAGGTGATATTTATATACTTATCAAGCAGAGTTTTAAATTTTATAATTTTTTTATCGATATTATTATCAAGAATATTTTTATCATATCTAACCAGAAGAATTATATTAAATATCATCGATCATTTTCCATTTAATTTTTAACAAAGTTTTTTACCCCACCTTGGTATGCTAACGGTAAATTGTTTACAATTTTCTAAGACATACTATAAATTCGACAAAATGAAAGGCGGATCAAGGATTAATTCGGAGATGCGTGAGAGAAGCACGCATGCTTTTTCTATCTTCTATTTTCGCTAACTGTATTATACTGTGTTCACAAGCAGTTTCTTCATTTTCCATTCTCGATTTCGACCGTTGCCCCTCCTTTTTCCAAATCATTGTACTCTTTGTACTCTATATTTTTCTTTTTCTTTTTTTGATTGGCTACTCGAAACGAAAGCATAGGAAGGGAAGAAAGAGGGGCTACGGTGAAACACTCGAAGCTCTCCTTTGGAGAAACGGTTCGCCAACGGAAGATAATAGCGTTCGAGCAAAAGGCTCGCGTTACGTTCCTGGTTTTCCAACATCGTCGATTCGATGAAGGGGCCGTTCAAGGGACATGGAGCCTCTTTGCCGAGGAAACGAGCGGAACATCATCATCATCATCATCATCGTCAAAAGACTTTTTTTTTTTTTTAAACTCTTTTCCACTTTCTTCCTTTCTCTTCTTTATCTCTCCCTCGCACTCGCTCCCTCTTTTTCTTTTTCTCTTTAAAGACGAGGCAACATTAATTTGAAGCGCTACTTCGTTTATGCCGCTTCGAGCCGAAAAGAAGCGAAAATAATTAAGAAGCAAGGGTGAAGGAACTAGACAGCAGACTTGCGGCCTTCTCATCCCGTACTTTTCTCTCTCACTCTTTCTCTCTAGTTCTTTTTTCAAGTACTGGTAGATCTTCTCCGTCTAACCTGAATAACGCGAGAAAAACAATAAAAAAAAAAGTGGATTATCTCGAAGATTCTATGGATTTTTGGCAAGTTAAAATTTAAATTTTAATATATGTTTGTTTTTGAAAAATTTCTAGAACCTACCTATACCTCGTCATCAATGTTGGAACAAAATGACAGTTAAGAGAGAAATTTCAAAGAATTTAAAAATTTCTTTTTAATATTAAAATTTATGGAACGATCCAACAACAGGCTATCCTAGAACTATTCTAGAAGCCAGTGGCAAACCAGTTCCTTTCGGGAATTTTCCTTCCTCAAGACAACATTTTTTTCCCCCTTCATCCAAGTTGAGATCATTCGATTCGAAATTCGAAAATTCCCATTGGAACGAGAGTGCAATGATATTTTGTGAAAGCGGCACGGCATACGTATTGTTTGTTGCACGTGTATGTAATATGTAATATGTCCTGTGTGTGTTCTTGTCTAAGACTGTATTTTTATTGCTCGTGAAATTGCGACGTTATCGGGTAACCAAGAAAGTTCTGTCGCTTTCTTTTATAGCTAGAAAAGAAACATATTAAATTTATTAAAATACATTAAAAGATGAAATCAGGAGATTTCAATATTATAATCATTTAGAAGATTTATGTTTAATTAAAAAAAAGTGAAAATCTTATGTTATCACAGCCTTTATATAGGCTATAATATTCAATTCTACTTTAAGAAAGCGACAAAATATTGTTAGTTACATGAAAATGTTGAAAATCAGGAAGGGGAAACGTGAATGACGCCTAGGTAGATTTAGCCGTCAATCCTGCCGCAGCCGTGTTACCTTTTTGTGTGTGGGCAGGGTAAAATCACCTTAAAGTGACGTACCAGACACAGGCCAGCCAGTGAGCAACCAACATGTAGAAACAGAGCAGTAGAATGAGCATCGCGGCTCCATACTCCAGATACCGGTCTAGTTTTCGAACGACCCGACCAAGCCGGAGAAGACGGACCACTTTCAACGCTGAAAACAGGCTTCCTATGCCGTCCTCGTCATGATCGAACGCGTTGAACACGTCGTACGGTAGGCAGCTCAACAGGTCGATGATGAACCATGATTTCAGGTAGTTCATTCTGATCACCTACGAATAATAATAATATTAATAATAATATAATAACTATAACAAAGTATGTATACGTTCTATCTAAGTTTAAGAGTTCTTAATCTATGATTAAATAATTCACTCTAATAGATCGTTCATCAAATATCTGAATCATAATCAATCTGTGAATTGTAAAGCAATTTTTAAATTATTAAAAATTTGATAATGAAAATTTTCAAAATAAAAAATTTTTATCACCTGTGAATGAATAATAATATATATATATGTTTATCTGTGAGTGATAATTAACTTGTATATTACGATTCTCGTCTATCCGCAAAAATATTTCTTTGCAATTATTATTATAGAAAATTTTCGAAACGATTAAAATTTATTTTGATATATATAGTAGCATAGGATAAAGTGGAAGTGACTCGTGCGGGCCCTGAAAACACACTACGTAAGAGTATGGATGATTTTTATGAGTGTGGAGGCAATTGTGAGATCGGTACCTTAGGGTCAGACACCACCTCGCCACCAGGGCCAACGAACGTGGTGTGAAAGTTGAGGACAATGTCGATGAAGAATATGACGTCAACGATGCTGTCGACAACCAGCAGGGACACATCCTCGCTGGTTTTGTTTTTGAACGCGACGTTGTAGGGCACCATGATGGCCGTGTAAAAAGTCAAACATAAAATGATCCAGTCCCAAATCGCCTTGAACGCGCAGTAATGTAACAAAATGTGCGGCGGGGTCTTTGGCGCCTCTTGTCTGTACTGCGGCATCACGTCGCCGCTTAAGGACATCATCTGAAAAAGAATCAATTTTCTCAATCTTATCCTTTTCTCTCTTTTTTTTTTTTTCATTTATTTTATTTTATTTTATTTTATTTTACACGAATATTATATAAATATTTCAAATAGACTCGAAATCGAATGATAAACACGATGTGTATTTAAATATCAACGATTACAATAATCCAATAATAAATTCGAACATGTACAAATCCTCCGCGGATCTGTTAACATTTCGATGCAAATCTTCTCGGAACGAGGACGAATACCTCCACCACCGCGTATAAATGCAAATGATCTTTGATTAAATATCAAAATCAAAAGTTTTTTCCAATTAGAATTGTACAATTAAAAAAAAGAAAAATTCTAAATTTTAAGAATTTGAATTAAAATTAGAAAGATTATTCATAGATTATTCATTTTGTAAAAGAATATAAATATGTAATATCTTACATGAGCTAAGTGTGATTGCTTCGCGGTGGTTGGCAACGCGGAATCCTTGAGAGCGGGCAGATGGGAGCTGAATTGTGAGACAAGAACAGATCTCGACCTGGTGACCGATCTGGCGAGCTTGGCGAATTTGGAGAGGCCACCCTTGCTGTCGTCTGCCTCGATTGGCTGCTTCAGGGCAGTGATGTCCCGGAAGGTCAACAGGAACAGGACCACTAGGTCCCGTTCGTTCTTTATTGGCGCTATTTGTAGAAGCAGCCATAGTGGTGTTTCTGTATACCCGGAACAACAACAGAATGAAGAAAACTGTCATTGATCGAAGGAAATTGCGATTCGATTGTTGTTTGATTCTAGAATTCTATATATCGTTTCATCGACTAATCGATACATAGTCGATAAACTAAATAGCTATTTACATGATAGATATTACGTTATACACTTGCAGAAAGAATATAGAATTTATATTTATTAAAATTAATTTGAAAATAATTTTGTTTATGTTCTTTTTAAAATCTTTTTAAAAAAATTTTATAAATATTCTTACTGCAAGATAAGATGATTATTCACTCACCGTCATGCTATCAGCACTCAAAAGCAATTACTTAATTACTAACGAACAATACACACGATGCAAATGGATACGATTCACAAGCATATATGATGATTTCTATACTACATTTTGGATATATCTTGGATATTTAAAATTCTAACAACAAGTGATTGAAAATTGCACATGTATTTGGCTTTGAAATAATTTAAACGAAGCTTTAATGATTAAAATGCGTGTAAAAATATTATTTTTAATAAATTTATAAACTCATGCCACCATTCGAAGTGTAGGTGTGTCGAGTGCTGACATCTGATGTATTGTATTTGAAGCAGTGCTCGATTAGAGTGTACGTGAAATTTGATCGTGATGCAGTTTAAAGAATGAAATAAATAATAGAAAGAAAAGAAAAAAGATCAGTTGCATAAAAATTGTGATAAATTCTGCTAATTCGTGCCTATTTTAATTATAAGTATATTAATGATAAAAAAATCTTATTTAATGATAAAAAAAGGTATCGTTCATTCTAATGATAGGATAAAAGAGGATATTCGAAATCGGAAATTATCTTTATATTAAAGTGACAGTTTAGTGATATAGTGATATTCACTGATAGTGAATAGTTTTAAAAGGACAAAGTGTATACCTTGTTACAATTATTTTATCAACGATTGTATACCATCCAACTTTGAGTATGTCGTGTCCTGGTGGTTGAGTATTAACAATATACACACGTAACGAGTCATCGAGGACGAGGAATACGTTCATTTATATTTTTTTCACCTGTAAATTAATTTTTGCGTAAAAATCATATAAATACGCGACTTCTCGTCTTCGATGCCCAAATTGTTTGTTTCGACTGCTACTTGGCATTTTCTGGCGATACTGTATACCGGCTAGAGCTAATTGGACGTGAATTTAGTATGAATAGGTCGCCATCTGGCGTGAAGAGTTTGTAATTCAACTTTAAACTCGATTTACTTCACGATGTTGCTCTATGGAATATGTAGAAAGGTACTTTGACCAAGAAAGTGGACAAAGAAGTGACAGAATAAAGAGGAATTTATTATTATTATTCGGGGATTAAATTAAATCAACGCATGTTTTCATCATTGGAAGGACGTTCAATGATAAATGTCCTTCGATCTGCCGTACATTTTTATCAATTTCATCCCTCTTTCTGCTTCGTCATCTCTGCCGTCCCCGTTTTCTGCGTCCCTTAATCTTTCCTACATAAACTTTCTCATTTCTAATTTTTCGATATTTTCTCTATATATTTATTCTAGCCACTTCAAAATTTTCTAAAAATTTTTTTCTAACCTTTCGAAATATACGATAATTTTTTTTATGAAACTGTAGATAGATCTTTTCACTTTAAAATTTATTTAATTTTCAGTTTTAAAATGTTGAATTAATTGGAAATGGACTACAAACCCTGAACGAGAGATGCGACCTTTGGTATAAGAGAATAAAGATAAACGTGTAATTTGTCTACGGAAAAGTGTACGTACGACTGTGATTATGAGTGTCATCAATCGTGAGAAAGTATGTATATATTCGCGACCTTTTACATCGTCACCGTTAATTCACAACGTCCTCGCAATAAATTAGGACGAAACTCACGGCCAGCTTACTATGTACTTGCCTACGTGCCCGGTGAACTTCGCCAGATCTATCGATGGAAAATAAACGGCATATCCATTATGATGTTATTTTACGGTGTAATTTTACGACGATTTCGCTACGATCAAAACTGGAACGATCATTTTTTTTTTTTTTAACAAATATAATAAAATTTCACGTTGCAAAATTATTCCTTAGACCAGTGTCTCTCAATTCTTTTTTGAGTTGTGATCTTTTTTTGTGATATATTTCAAATAATTTTTGATATCATTTGATATTTGATTATTTTTTTTCTATATATAGGATATTCATTATAAAATATTCAATTGAGATCAACATCAAGCAATGAAGGTTGAGTCCACAGGTTAAGAGTCACTATTAAAGATGAGAAAAAAATCAACGTTGTTTTAGAATTAAAATTAATAATTCGAACTCAAAACTATTATTCGTAACCAACAAGTTGAGAAGTACTGATCTACACCGAAATTTACCAAAATCTCTTCTTCTTATAGGGAAACAAAAAGAAAGCGAAGATATATAAATCTTCTAATATCCTCCAGAAGATTCTGGATGAAAAATAGTCGACACGTGGTAGGAGACTGGTATTATTGGAAGACAGAGAAGATAAGGAAAGAGGAATAACAGTAGAAGATATATAGGATTCGCAGCTAAATCGTCGATGCTGTTACGTACGAAGCGCATCGTTCACCGAGCTGGCAAATGGACAACATCTGCAATGGACAGATACGTGTTGTGATACGTGTTGAATACGTGTTGTGTCTTTAGTACTTAAGAGTGAGATAGAGATAGAGAGAAAGATTTCAGGGAGGAATTAACTGAAATCAAGAGTAGGTGGGAGGTCGAATAGCGTCCTCTCATTATGGCCGCCCCTTGGTCCCGGGATCGTTCGACGATCCTTGTACGTGTGTCGTCTCTTGTTCACGCTAAAGATGGGTGTATAACAATCGTATACAGTATATCTCCAAATGTACATTAATATTTATAGATTTATATGCAGGGTATCGTGTTAGTTGTAGTAAAATCGGACAAGATTTTTGGTGATTTCTTTTTTCGTGAAAAAAGTAAGTCGAGAGGAAAGAATTAAATTTCATTTAAAGATTTGATTTCAAGTATGAATCGAGTTTAAAAAATTTTATATGAAAAATATGGATAATTAGATATGAATAAATTATCGATAGATAGATAAATGTATTTGTAAAAGCATAAACAAAAAATGTAAAGATAAATTATTTTTGTTTAAAAATTTTTAAACAAGAAAAAATTAAATTTAAAAATTCATCGATTATACATACGATATCTAATTTGATTTTTTTAAAAGCAAGAACTTAAATGATAAAATTTTATTCTACATTTTTTGCTTATTTTCAAATGTAGATATATAATCTATCGATAATTCATTTATATCTAATCAATTTCACATATATTTGAAAATTTTCCAAACTAGATTCACTCAAAAACGAAGCTTCAAATAAAAGAATTTTATTCTTTTTTTTTTTTTCTACCTACTTTTTCATGAGAAATCACTCTTTTTCTCTGCCTGAATTGTGCTACAAATAACAAGATAACCTCTATATAAATATATATACGTATATATATATATACATATAATTATATATAAATGGTGTTTTGTTATAGTTAGATTCGAGGGTGACTTACTGGTGGATTTTTCGAGCACTCTTTTGCGAACCTGTGCTAGACATACCTCGTGGGGCACCTTTAAACAAAACGATCATTCGTTATTGGGCTCGGTCGAGTCGATCGGATTCACTAGGATCGATATAGGGTCGCTAAGTTCATCGCTTATGACGAAGAAAGGCGAAGGAAATCTTTTTGATTGGTTATCGAATTTCGTTGCTCGTTACTGGTCGCTGTTGAGCGTTATTTATAACTATCTGTTGATAAATATCGATCGGTAAGTTCTTATCGACTTAAATATTTAAGATTTTCGAAATTTTTTTTCTGATTTGTCATCGACTTAGATTAAGATTTAAAAATTTAAGATTTTAGAAATTTTTTGAGATTATAGATACAGTAGTCTAGAATTTTGTTGAAAAAGTAAAAAATGGAAAAATAAAGTACTGCATATGAAGAAATTAGAAGCATCGTGACGATGAGGTGTTGAGCTGGCGAATGTGAAATATCGTTTCGATTTCACGGGACAACGACGTCTCATGAATTTTCTTATCGAGCACATTAAAACGAATATATGTACATGGAATATGCAAATTACATGATATTTGACTTTTCTCGATAAGAATTTAATTTTTCTGCTGACACGCGTCGCATACAGATTCGAACGTTTTAAGCAATTTTCAAATTACTTTTGAAGATTATTCGAGAGATAAACAATATAAACATTTCACGAATACAATTAAATGATTTATTTAATATTTCAAGAAATAAGCTATTTAATTTAAATAAAAAATAACTAGTTTTTAAATAGTTACTAGATACTTATTTAGTTATTTAGTTACTTAATATTAAATTACTATAAAATAACTAGTTTTTTATTATTGCTTCTGATTAATACTTATCTGATTATCAGGCTTATCTCTAAAGAAGAAATTCAACAAGTCTGACAATCTTTTATTTAAAAAAAAAAAAGTACGCAAAATCTTCTCAAAAAAAAGAAAAAGCGAAAAACGATTTTACACACGCGTCAACTCAACGTAAAGAGAATAGATCTTGGTGAAATGAGCAACAGACGTAAAGAGACTCACTGTTTCTGATTACTTGTATCAGTGATAGGCACTCGTGTTCTAATAATAAGTACTCGTACTGACACACGAGGCGAGTCTGCGTGAATCAGGCGACACCAACAACACGTAAAAACACACGATAAAGAAACTCTGGAACCCGAGACGGTCCGCGTCTACACAACGACGAATGCGGACGGTCCGGTATCCGGTGGTCGACCAGCGTCGAGCATGCACAATGATACGTCATTTTCGTGCCTCGAGGCGTTCTGTCAGAGTCATCTCGCCGGCAATCGACGACTTCCGTCCGTCTATAATCGTTTTCATTGGAAAAATGGCATCGACGTTTCTTCCATTTTTATACTATATGCATATACTATATGCAATATATATATATGTTTATATATGTGAGTCATGAATTTCTTCTTAACCTTAAAGATTGTATTTTGCGACATCAAAGGTATGTATTATAATATTTTTAAAGTAGCAATTGTAAAAATAAGTAAAATATCATTAATGCTTTGAATTTTTATTTATTAAAATTTTTTTTTCTAGTGAAAAGAATAAATTTTTATTATATCTTATATATGTCAGTATATCTGAAGAGGTTGGGATAATGTAAGGATCGAAAAAATTTTGAAAAAAATTGTTTGTATTTAAAGGTTGTATCACACTTATTGACAAATTAATCATTCGAAATTTCTTTATATTTTTTTTATCTTTCTTAATACAAGTACTTCTTAATACAAGTACGTATAGGTTATGTTATTATTTTTAGATCCAATCTGGGAGAATGAGAAATGTTAAAATCAACGACAAATCTGTAAAAAAAAAAGGAAAACGTAGAATTTATTGGCATCCATTTTCGAGATGGAAGTCGTCGATTCCAGGATGAAAAGAAGCCACCAACACCACACTTAAGCTTCTCCCATGCGACGATAGGGGTAATCGGTACTTACTGTTCTTCTTGTACAGCAGGATCTCGAATTGATCGTGAATCTGGCCCTCGAGGCATTCCTCGATCCTGGCGATCGTCTCTTTGTCCGTCAACTCCCCGTACATGAATCCGCAGCGGCAGGACTTTTGCATAACCTAACGGCAAATTCGACACTTTTCATCTTGCGAATTTCATCCTGCATTTCCCTCTTTGAGATTTTTAAGAAATAATTCAAAGATCTAAAAGTATTTGAGTAGCAACTTCTCGAAGATTTTGGATAAATTTTTATAACAAGGTATTATCCTCAGATCTCAATTAATTTTTTAACGTTTTATCAAGATTATCACAGTGAGTTAGGTTAGGTGAGGTCAGATTAGTTGTAATATAAACCGTAAAACTTAGGAATTAGATAAATTTTTGTTTGAGCAATTAATTTGGGTTAATTATTACATTTAATTTCATTTTATAAATCGAAATATAAACGATTCAATTGATCGATATCTTAATCTGATCAATAATCTAACTTAAACTGTCTCGAAGAAATATTAGTAATTTTTTAACGAACATCAACAATCGAGTAAAAAATTTCACAACTGATATTAAAAAAATCATCGAGATCAGGAAATGATATCTTTTTATAAATAATTATCAATCTTTTTTTTTAAAAAAAAATAAAAAATCGATGTATAGAATAAAAAATTTATCTATCCGGATAACGTTTCGCTTTACATTTACCAATCTTTCTATCGTGTTTCTCGAATAATACAAACATGTGGAAAAAAAAAACAGAAAAAAAAATTCAATTTCATCCTTGAATTAGCACCGTCATATCCATATGGGAAAACAACATTGAAAAGCGTATTATTGTTCGGTTGGTAAAACAGAAGTTGTACACGATAGTCCGTATTGGTTCGAAACGGTTCGAACGTAACCAAGTGGATTTAATTGCGGATAAAAGAGGAACAAAAGAATAGAAAAAAATAATAGAAAATGGTTGAATTAGGGAAATCGACGAGTCTTCGCGAGATTCCAGACGTGGTACTGTGCTCCTCTTCTTTTTTTTTTTTTTTTTTTTTTTTTTTTTTTTCTCTCCTTTTTCGTATGAAATTATAATTATATTATACATAGATTGAAATTGTGCAGATGGTTCACACCTGTGTGAATCGCGAAGGTTGGTTGGAAGTAAAACGATAAAGATTGAAAAGGTAAATGGGTGGAGGGAGCGTGGTCGTGGAACGAAAAGAGGCTTAGGGGAGGGTGGAGCAGGGTATTTACCTCGGCACGATTATAGCCAGAGATTTTGCAAAAGCTTTCGTTGCAATAGACAATAGGGAAGTCGACGATCTGAGCGTTCGCCAGGAGAAAACTGCTGTCAGCTGTGAACAGAGAAAAAATGAATGTTTTAATTTTCATTTAATAATAACATATTCATCGTATTAAACATCACTCGATATCAATTTTTACATTTTTAACATAGATTAAAGAAAAATTTTCTATTGTCAAATGATATAAAATATTTCTTACATAATTTAATCGAATAAATCCAAAATTGATGCTCTCAAAAATTTATTTTAAAGAATTATAAAAATACTAAAAAAAATAAATAAATAAAGAACATGCACGCTGCATTTTATAACTGCGTAACGATGAAAATATTTTAATTAATGCGGTAAATTCTTTGTAAAATAATATTCATTTATACTCGCTCGGTAATAAAGTCGCAATAACAACGATGATTTTCCGCATAACCGGTTTCCATATTCTGTGGAAATTCCAACCTCTTCAGCCCTCTCGCACGGTCAGGTTTTCTCATCCACTTATTCGTTCGCGGCACACGTAACGCATTAACGAGCTTTATACCCTTATTCGAGTTTCATCGAGCCGAGGGAAAAAAAAAAAAAAAGAAAGAAAGGAAAAAAAAATCGTTATCGATCAAGTATCTCCGTATTGCTCGATCAACCTTCCATTTCGAATTCCTTCGGGATTCCTACGTATCTATGTATATTCTTCAATTCGAGAATCGAATCTAAATCTCGAGCGATTTTGCAAAGAAAAGATTGAAAACTTTCATTTTTCCCCTAGATAATTTTTCGAAAATGGAACCTTTTTGGAAGAGAAGCATAGGGAATTTTTGTTTTTCCCCTAGAATGGTGGATAAATTTCCGAGAATTTTTAAGATCATTTTTTTTCTGAAGAATTTTTTAAAAATGGAATCTTTCCAAATTCCAATTCTCGATAATGAGATTTTTTCTTAGAAATTTAGATAAAAAATTTCCAGTGATGGAGCATCATTCTTATTGGAATTAAAATTTCGAAGATAATTTCTAGACAAAATTTCACTTTTTCACGGACGGGAAAGAATTTTCCAAAAATCATCGAAATCATCGATTCTCGACAATGTAAATTTTTAGGGAAATTTTACTTTTCTCTAAAAACTCTGGCTAAATTTCCAAATAATGGAATATTCTATCATCGAAACTAAATATTAAAAAAAACCGTTTATTTCTAAGGAAATTCTCCTAGATAATTTTCCAAAAGTCGTCAAAGCCAATTTTTCTAGGTAAATTTCTGGATATATTTCCAATATTGAAATATCGTTTTATCATCGAAGCTCAAAAACGACAATTGGAGGGGAGGAAGAATAGGAAATTTTTATTTTTCCCCCGAAAAACCTGGATAAATTTCCGAAAATAGAATATCGTTTGATCGTCCAGCTGTTTCTTTATTAAAACAGAACGGCTATGTTTTTCCATCTGTTTGTTCGTGTACACTCGCGAGCCAGGCCGACTGTGTTTTCCGTTACGTTTTCCTTTATTCTTCGCGTCATTGAACGCTCTACCCATGATTCGATTTAAAAAAAAAAAACGTTCTCTTTCATAAACGGTGACCCGCATCTTCGAAAATAATAATCCATCTTTAATATTCTTAATATCGATTTTTCTCCGATGGACGATCCTTTCAAACCAACCAAATTTCCAAACTTTTTTTTTCACTTTTCATCAATTTGAATCTTTAAAAAAAAAAAAAAATGACAAATTTGACGATAAAAATACGATAAAACAGAATAAAAATCGTTCGTAGAAACGTCGATGATTAGAGGAGGTACAAACATATAAGAAGATAGAAATCTAATCTAACCTGACTTAAGCGCGAGAAGAAAATTAAGAAGTCTTCGTCGAAAATGAAGAAAGATGAAAAAAGAATATTTACAAAAAAAAAAACGACGAATATTTTTTCAAAAGAACACGTATGTGAAGAAATTCGTTATTTAATCGAATTAAATATATAAAATGTATATTTATGTAACGTGTAAAACAAAGAATAAACGAGATCTAACATAACCTACTCTAATTGAGAAAACTCTTCTCTTTTCCTCGAATCTGGAAAAAAATATTAAAAAAAAAAAAAGAAACAAGAAAATATGATATGAAACTAAGTCAAATAAATAAAACAAGCAACGATCTTTACCAAACCTAACTTAACCTAATTGAAAAAAAATTCCTCTCTCGAAAATTAAGAAATGTGGAGAAAAAAAAAAAAGAAATAAGAGATTTCTTCAAACCGATATAATCAAAGTCAAACGAATAAAACAAAGCAAAGCAACGATCTTCGCCAAAGATACGAAACAAGAAGAAGAAGGAAAAGAAAATATCCTTGGGATATATTCAAGGAATATATTCAAAAATTGTTGATCTGGATTTTTGCTAATAGACACGAACGAGAAGATAAGGAAAGGTCGGTAATTTTGCCTCGTTTCGTGTAATCCCACGAGTCAAGCCAACCGAATGGACAAGGGAATTATGAAATTTCCAACGTTCCTTTTTCATGCACGCGCACGCGCGTTGAGAATTCCCGAATTCCTATTTAACACCGAACCGCTCTTTTTACCGACTCTCCCTTAATTAAATTCGATAGTTTTTTTTTTTCCATCACCTCCATCCTTCTCTTACTATACTCCTCGCAATTCCATCTGAGTATTCTTGGATATTTCAAATTATCACTTTTTTTTTATTATTATCACTTTTGTTGTTCATCGAATTAACGAGAACATCAAGATAAAAGGTAATTCTTTTTCAGGCGAAGATTCCAATTACCTTCGATTCTCGCCAATTCCAACTCGTCCACCATTTGGATATTTCAAATTGCCACTTTTTTTTATTATATTTGGGGACGTTTGTCGGATTAACAGAGGACGAAGATGAAAAATGAGGATGAGAAGATAATTTTCGCTTTCCTATTTTCTAATTATTCATGACTTTTGCGTGAAGCGGAATGTTTACTGTTAATTTGTAATTAACACTGCTTGGATTCCGCCATTGTTGGATTTTTAATATCGATGAAAATGAAAAGACGTAATTTTCTGTGTACACAGAGATTAGGATTTTTTCTCATTATCTTAGCAGAGTGCAAAGTTTATTTTATTACTGTTCGCGGAGGAATTCGCAATTTCGCTCGTGCATTCTTGAATTTTGAAACTACCATTTTTGGGGATGTATTTATCGAATCAATAAAGAAGGTGGAAAAAAAGTGGACGATCTGCAATTTTGTGTTCGAAGATTTTAATTATCTTCAATTCCTGAAAATTTTCTTTCAAAGACAAAAGAATGGAATTGCAATTTCAAAAAAACAAAAATCGAATAATTATTCCAATTGTCTTCAATTCTTAAACAATTCCATTTTAACAAAATAAAAAATTTTATTTCGAAAGCAAAGGAATAGAATTGCAATTCCAAAAAATAAAAATCGAATAATTGTAATTATAATTCTATTTTCCGACAGAGTGGAAAAAATTGATTTTCAAATCAATTTGGAATCGCAATTGCGACAAGGAAAAACGATAAAAAATAAATTTAATCATTTACCGACTTATTACGCATTAAACGTCGAGTAGGAAATCTTGCACGGCCTTGGGATTTGTCTTTATTATTCCCCCTAGAGCGAATCACGAATAATAACGATAACAGGTTCCAGTGCACGCAACGCGAACGAAACGAGCGTTCTGTGCCGCGTCCGTACCGACGCACTCCCCTGACCTGCCCCCTGAATACGGGTCAAGGCTACGTGCACCGACCCTATGCAACTTTCTAACCCGTCCGTCCGCCCGCCTTATCCTTTCGATCGTCCGATTGAAAGTGCTCGTTCATCCACCGGCTGTTTCGTCGCGAAAATTCGAAGACGAGAGAAGAATGTCTTGTGAAATTTGTACCTAACCTAGAAACGAAGGATTCGAACGAATTCGAGCGTATATGTAAGTACTAATAAGTTTAGGTTAGGAGTAATTTGTCGATTGGAAAATTTCTTTGAAATCGATGTAAAGGATCAAATGAAATGTATATGACAGAGCATAATATATTACGTAGAACAATTTGTTTTCGTCGATGGAACGTTTTCTAACTTAACTTGAAAAAATTCGAATTCAAACGAATGGAATGAAGTATATTGTATTATTAAGCATTTTGTTAATTTTGTTAATTGCAAAATTTCTTTGAGAGAATGAATCGTTTCTAATCTAATCTAATCTGAAAATTTGAAATACATCGAACGAAATGTTATATATAGAGCAATTTGCTTCCGTCGATGGAAAGTTTGTTTGAAATCGGTGTCCAAAGTTTCCTAACCTAACTTAATTTGAAAATTCGAATGAAGCGTGTAGAGCATAATAACATCGATATACATAATTCGTAAGATTTTAATTCGAACGAATTGAATGCAACGATTTTTCGGAATATTTTCTAAAAAAAAAACTAAAAGTTATTAGAAATTACTAATCAAATTTTTTCTTTCTCACCGTTCCCCTTTTCACGAGGCCAAAGTTTAATTAAATTTACTCTATCTAACAACCCATCATATATTTAATATTCATAACCTATTAAATCTCTACAGATCAACATCTACACGTTACTTCGACGACATCGTCATATTCGATCAAAAATTTTTAACCTTTGCAAATATACACGATCTCCTAAACGAAAAATACCAATTTTCCCAAAGAATCGATCGAGAAAGGATCGCAACCACTTTTTTCCCTGTTTTACCATCTTCCTTTCGTCGATTTACCATACCGACACACCACACAATCTCCTTCTCTCTTTCTCTTTCTCTCTTTAATCCAATTCTGTTGCCAACAATCGTCCATCCAAAGAAGCAAAACTACTCGAACAATTCCTCCTTTTTCTCCTCCTCCTCCTTTTCCTTTCCATTTCTCTATCATTCATCATTCGACTATATGGAAACATATAGTCTCGTCTTATCTCTTTCCATCGAATCGGTGGAAGATCAAAGATTGGAGGGGGAGGGAGGGGGAAAGAAGAGGAGGATTTGGCAAATGGAACTCGTAGAAAATAGTGAAGGAGGCTCGAATTCCTGTTGCATAGGCCTGGTCAAGGGCGGGAACAAGCGTGGAAACATTGGAGGATGCATCGTTTAGAGGCTTTTCGAGACGAAGAGGCCGCGATTCGAGAGGACACTCAATCGAAAGTGGCTGTTCGTCGTCTGCGCCCACTCTTCTTCCCCCATTCTACCACTCGTCAACCCTTCTCACTGTCAGGTGTTTCGAAGAAGCTTGACTCTTGATCGACGTCTCGACGGAGAAAGATGGACGTGATGATTTGTCCTCTCTCTCTCTCTCTCTCTCTTTGCTGTGAGATCAATGTCCATCAATCTTTTCGTTAAAGTTTACGTTAAAGTTTTTGATAAATTTATCACAGGAACGAATTAGATTAGATTAATTGAAATTTTCAATCCTTTCGCGTGTTTTGTTCATAATTAAATGAACGAGAAATTGAATTGGATTAATAATTGATAAATTATGAGAAATATTTTTGAATCTTTTGGAATTTATTAATAATAATTATTGATTAAGTTTTAAAAAAGATTTTTAATTCTTTTGCATCTTGTAACAAATAAATTTACAATGAACGACAAGTAATTACGATTAGTCTATTATATAATATTTTTATGGATTCGAAATATATTATATATATATATTTTTTAATAGTCCGATCATTTCTTTATCGTATCCACGAGAAATCGAAACCTTTCGAATTTACGTTGATCGATTTATTAAAATTTACGAATAATGAAAAAGACGATGGAATCTACATCGAAGAAACATTTCTTTTTGAATTTACATATCGTTCAATTCATAATCAACGCACGAAGATAAATTTAAACATTTTTTCTCCCTCGCTTCTTTTATCATCCTACATTTCATCGTCAATCGTATCCACGCCAAAAAACGATCGGATTGGATTACAGCTTTGAAAATGAATACAGATAGAATTACGTTGTTTACCTTAGGGAGAAATAATGCTCGAGGTAATCTCCTCCGCTTAATTCGAGCAAAGCCAGTTATTTATCCAGTTTAAAAGGAGTAGTAGTGGGCCTTGTGGTTCAACGTTTGAAAAGGGCATATTTGGAATGGGCAAATTGGATTGGTGGATGGAAAAATTTCTCGAGACATTATTTTACCGGCCCTCGTCTCGTGATTCGACTCGAGTGTTTTTTCAACGCGTTTATCAACCGAGGCAGCAATCTATGGCAGCAAACCCGATTCAGCAAAGGTCGGTAACGGTCTCTTGAATATGGATGGGACGAACCGACCGATGTAAGAGGACCGTTTCCAACTCTCCTCGTTCCACGGGAGGGATTCCGCCATTTCTAGCCCGGTAACGTCAACTTTTAAGTATTCTATCCCCCCCTCCCTTCCCCCTCACTCTCCTTATCCATTATCTACGTTTCGAAAGGTATATCGGTTTATCGGTTGGTTGCGTCGTAAATTGCGTGTGCGGAAAGTTAGCCGATCGAAAGAAGATTTTGTAAGCGGATTTTGTGTAATGGAATTTTCAGATTTTTGCGAAAGCAATTCTATACACAACAATTCCTTATTTAAGTGGATTATAATGGAATCGTTATTTTTTGATATTTTCTTCGAAAAAGCGAAAATTATCAAGTGGATAATATTTGAATAGGAATCGAATTTTGACATTTTTGTAAAAGCAATTCCACACAGTTCTTCTTAATTGAATTTCAACGGAATCGAATTTTTACATTTGTGTAAAAGCAATTCCACATAATTCTTCTTAAATGAATAAAAAATTGATATTTTTGCTAAAGCAATTCCATACAATTCTTCTTAATCGAATTTCAATGGAATTTTGTATTTTTGCAAAAGCAATTCCACACAATTTCTTTGAAATGGAATTTTCTGGAATTGAATCGAATCTTGACATTTTTGTAAAGGCAATTCCACATAATTTCAATGGACTCGAATTTTGACGTGTTTGTAAAAGCAATTCCATACCATTCTTCTTAATCGAATTTCAATGGAATTTTGCATTTTTGCAAAGTAATTCCATACAATTTTTCTTAAATGGAACTTTCTATTGAGTCGAATCTTGACATTTTTGTAAAGGCAATTCCACGCAATTTCAGTGGAATCGAATTTTTACACTTTTGTAAAAAGCAATTCCATACAATTCTTCTTAAGTAAATTTCAATGAATTCGAATTTTGACATGTGTGTATCAGCAATTCCATACAATTCTTCTTAAATTAATTTCAATGGACTCGAATTTTGACATTTTTTCGAAAAAGCAATTGTTTTAATTGGATTGGAAAAACACAAGGAAATATCGATAATCGAAGGGCAAGAAATTGGACACGGAGATTTATTTTAAAGAAAATTTATTTTAAAAAAAAAAAAAAAGAAATTCGTCTCATCACGGACGTTGTCTTATTCGAAAGGCGAAAGGAATTTTGCTGCTTGCGTAATTTCCCTTGAAAACTCTGCTCGATAACACATCTGTTGGTAGTGGAAAATCCTTGTCTCGCGGGCTATGTTTCACCATCATCGATCGTGTTTCCACCACTTCGTTCTGTTATTCCCCGATAGGGTGACTCCGCCAAGATTTATCCGCTTCTTCGAGGGAATTTCCTCGTGCAAGAGGATTACAACATGTTTTATAAGGGAAAAATATAATACCTTAGATCCACCTTGGTCCTTGGATCCTTTCGAAAAGGATTTTTCAGCAAGAGGAATTAAATAGTAATAATTGTATAATTTTTGAAGTACCATGTTGTTGGATTTTATTTTTTTTTTTTTAGAAATTTATTGGATTTCTCAGGTTATGGAAGAAATAATTGTGTGAGAAATAAGAGTGTTGAATGGGATTCTCTACAAATTTAGCACTTTCGAGATAATTCAGGAATAATTACTTAACGAGATATTTGTTAATAGAAGAATAATTTGGAAGAGGAGTGAAAATTAAACATTCCAGTATTCATTGGGAAGAAATGATTATCAAGATTGTTAAATGGGATTTAGAACAACTATGCCAACAGTGTCCATCATGGAAAAATTATATAAATTCGAAGTGAAATCCTTAGAATTTTTCGAAAAAATCTTCCATTCCAAATAAGAATTATCCAATATTAATCAAAAAAAAAAAAAAAAAAATTAAAATCAAGAATCTCAAACAAGATTCGTCAAAATTTTTCCAAAAATTCATTCCAAATAAAAATTATAAGATAATCTCGATATATTATTCAACATTCGAAAAATTACAATGAATTTTAAAAAAATTTACCATTTATCAAATAAGAATCAACATAACATCGAGTATCGAAGAATATTTGTCAAGAACGATTCCACGAACTTTTATACTTAAACGTATCCTTCGAGTTGAACGAGGGATCAGTAGAATAGCTCGCGAATCAACTGCGCGTCAGTGGAAAGGGTCAACCTTTCATCAGCCTTACCGCACAGTAACGTAACCAGCTGAATTTTCTCCCCCCTATAGCGCGACATTCTTCCTTTGTCGCTAGTGTGTTCCCTCGATAGCTTGGAATAATTTTTCAACAAAATTAAAACTATCTTACGTTTACGTCGTTCGAATTAAAAGAGAAGAAATATAATTAAATATATAAATCGAATTTTTTGTTTTCCAATGACGATGGATAATGATCTGGTTCTTTTTGAGTTTTGTGGTAAAAAAAAAAGAAAAAAATTGAACGAAGCGATAAAATGCGATAACATTATCGTACTTCATACATTTTCTACACAGACATTGTTTTGGGATATTAAGAGCATTTTAAAGGATGTTTAAAAATGGTATCACGATATTCGTGTACATATTTCACATTGTACATTATTTTTACGATATTTATCATGAAATATTTTATATTATACATCGTGTCGTAATTCATCCACAGAATAAATTACCCTCGTAAATTATTACTTTGCAAAGAGATTCTAGAATATTAAAGTTTTCACTTAAAATTATACATCGATCGATGGAACGTATCATAGGTTTATTAAAAACGTCACTTTCAACGATAAATGTTTATGCATTTACGGAAAAGTCTTTGGAATGTAAATTTTAATTGCAATTAAAAAAAACCTATTGATAAATTTTCACGAAAGTGTAAACAAATTTTTCACAATTTTCCCAGCAAAGGAAAATTTAGTGTCGAACAAGGGCGAGAGGGAATAAGTTTTACTAGTGAACCAACTTGGTAATTGGTAATTAAGAGTGTTCGTTAGGATTTCAACTTTGCCGCTCGAGGGAAATTAATATTTTTCGACTTATTTCGTTTCGAAACTCTAGGCAATGTTTCCAAATGACTAGATGCGAGACAGGATACAAACTGTCGATTATAAATCATGGGGTATCAGGTATATTAGAATTTACCACTTGTGGACTTTATTCAATTTTATTTATATTGCAGCATTGGAGCTTCGAATGTAATATTTAAAAGTAAAATATCGTTGAGAATATTTTTTGTCTAATGAATTTTGCATGCGGAATAAAAGTTATTAGTTGAACTGATTAATTTTCAAAAACTTGATAGAAAATACGCTTGATAATGAAAATTTTGGGGAATTATTCTTAAAAATTATTTTTCACAAATAGACAATGAAAGTGAAAATAATAGCTTTTGCTTGTAAAAAATACTTTCAAGATTCTCGAGAGTTTCTGAAATATATACTTAGATATCGCATTCAAGAAAGCTAATATTGCTTACTTTCAAAAAGCAATTCTCAATTTTACTCTCAAACGTAAGGATGCAAAATAAAACATTTGATAATAAAACTCTTTGATTATTGTTAGAAAATTATTTCTCGTGAAAATTACCATGGACAATCTCAAGTCAATCTCAGTTCAATCTTCCATTTGCCAAAAATATTCTCAAAAGCGATTTTCGAGAGTTTTACTCTCAAACGCACTTTTATCTTTAGATATGAAAACTTTATTATCTTTCAACACAGTGTACAGCTTGCGAAAAATATTCTCAAAAATAACTGTCAAGAATTTCAAATTATGAAATATATTCGCAATCCTATATTCGCATTGCATTGCAGAATAAAATTATTTAATCACTTGTGAAAAAAAAATATTATCACTTTATATTCGCATCCTAAGTTAAATCTCGTTTCCAATCTATTTTTCGTTGCCCTTTTACTCCATTTACAAAACCATGAAGTATAGGCGAGAACAAAGATAGGCAAAATTTTAACAATTGAGGTTAAGAATAAAGTTACTTCAATAATCTATTACTAAAAGTATCGAATAATCGCAAATAATACAATGCGAAACAGCCGAATTATGCGAATCAATTATAATAGCTACAAATAAATATTATTCGTATAGCATTTTATGAGTATTTTATTTAATGAGTAATTACTTAAAGCAACTTTATTCGAAATTTTTAACTAGTTACTTTTTCAACTGGCCAACTTCTGGGCGAGAGATTGCGCGTGAAAGAGAAAAGATGTTCGGGACGGTTGGTAGCACTTGATTGGCCTCTAAGTAGAAAAGTCCATTAAACATAGAATCGTGCGTGCGTGTGCACGCGCTGATATTCACGAGATCGTGGAGCAAGCCTTTCGATCAACGAGGGATTCCAATCTTGAAACCGGGTAAAGTGAAACCTCTATCAACAAAATTTTCTAATCCTTTTACTGTAATTTGATTAAACGTTTATTCGTTCCTTCAATTTTCTCGTTTGTATCTTTCGAATTTTCCATAAATGCAATCTAGCAATCCAGCGATAATATAATATAGTGATATGATGTAATAAAATTTTATCAAATATATATTGTTCAATGATTTGAATTACATTTTTAATAAAATAAAAAATTTTTTACAAATAAAGTGTGAAAGTCTCTTGTATAATAAATGTTTATTGACAATCTAACCTAACCTTTTCGTTGTTATACTTTAAAATAAATATATTTTATTATTAAGCAAGTTTTTGCAATAAATAATATAAATCTTGAAACGTTTCAAAATTATTGCTTTCCAAATTTTTAAACGACGATTCATAAATATATTATAAACTTAATTTATTGATGAAAAATAAAACAAGAAATTAAATCAAATATACATCACGTTAAAAAGATTATAGAAATAATTAAAAAAAATATAATAAATGATCGTGATCGATGAATTTTTGCAATTATAATCGAATCAATAAATGAATAATGTAAATTGTGATGGAATCGCTGTTTGTACCGATGACGCGCGAAGCTGGTCTTAATCGCGTTTAGAATTGTGCGGAAAGTGGTTCAAGTACGGGGCCAATGCGGCGACATACTCTTCTCCCCGAAATAACGATTGCTCCTACACTGTTTACCTGAGAGACGAACTATCGATTACAAGCGGCGATAAATATAACGCAAACTAAAACCGGCCGACCTTCTTCCGTAGGCATAGTCAATGCTCGTTTTCAAGGTGCCGACTTTCCTCTACGTGGTCTACGTAACTCTGTTAGCATGAGAAATCGCGAAAAGCCTTTCTTTTGAACCCTTTTCTAGTGGAATTATTGTATTATATTGGTTCGAATATAAAAATAGAAAATTTTTTAACTTTTCAAAATTTGGCAACCAGAAATCTTCAAAAAAATTTGATTTAAAAAAAAAAAGAAATGAAACGCCTTCCTTTGATTATCATTCATGAAGTAATTGCATTCCATTGATCTATCTGTAAAAATAGAAATTTTTATTTATTATTTATTTATTTATTTATATTATTTATATATTTTTTAAATTTTGCAGTTATAAAAAATTTTCGAAGAAATTTAATTTAAAAAAAAATGGCATCATTTTGGTCACTATTTATGAAATAATAACACAATGTATTGGTCTAATTATTTATAAAAATAGAAATTTTTTAAATTTTTAAAACTTAGCAATGAAAAATTTTCGAAAAAGAATGGCATCATTTTAATCATCATTTGTGAAATAATCACCATCTATTAAAGTAGCTACGACATAACGATAGATATTTTTAAAATTTTGCAAATTTAAATTTTCAACGAAATGACGAAATTTTCGAATAAAAGACGAAATGTTTTTCTTTGATCATCATTCGTAGAATAATGGTCAATTGATTAAACATCAACAAAGAAAGAATATTCGAATAAAAAATTCTAGATGTAAACAAGAAGATTCAAAGCAGCCAATTCTGTTTACCCAATTTCCCTTGTTAAAACGAAAATGCAGATATGAATTATATAGACTTGATCGAAGTTGATCGAAGCGAGCGTAAACCGAGTTTCAGTCATCAGAAGCCCCCAGTATGATCCTCGAAAGAGGTTTAACCAACGCATAAATCAGCCTGTTGGAAAGACATGGATGCACGGTAGGTGCACGATCGTAAACCGATGTCCAATCTTATCGACCTTGTTTCTCGTTTATTAATCTGCAAGGAAATATTTGTCTGTTCAATGTATATAATATATAACGAGCTTCAGAAGAATTAATAACCGACTTTATATAGAGAACAAGTAGACAAGAAATTAAAATATAACAAGTTAGAGAGAAACACGATCGTTTTTACTCTCCGCAAAAATGAAAGAAAAAAAATAGAATAATGGGATGTAAATTAATTTTGCACATACCTGAATATTTTTTGAAACTCTATAGAGTTTTAACCATTTTTTATTATCAAGCATTATCATCTTATTCTCCTAAAAAATAAAAGAAAATGAATAAGTGAGAAATACGGTGTAAATTAACTTTTATAGGCATCTAACTTAACCTATTCTTTCAAAGTTTGAAACTTTATATTCTTTATTTATTTTAATCTTTCACTATTGAATCCTCAGAAATGAAATTTGCACCAAATAAACATTCTACGATATTATTCATATTAAATAAATATCTTTTATTGAACACTTATAAACATTATTTGTAGTCGAAACGTTAAAAAATGTTTTCTTAAACGATCAGTGTACTGTAGGTAAAGAGACACGGTGTATTACGCACTAAAGGTTAGCTGGGCCAACTGGATACTTAATCTTGATTCGCACGCAAATTCTAACCGCGATCAAAGCCAGGTCTGCTGGGTCAAGGTGCACTCTATGCAATTGCACGCATTGCTAGGTAATCGTCATGCTTGCATTTAAACAAGCTTAACTTCGACAAATCGTGTAACTCTTAAATTGCTTAGGATCGAAAAATAGTATCTACGATTATCGATAGAATTCGATTAATCGAAAGAGACTTGATAAATTCACTTTTGTTAATTTTATCATTGCTTGTTCAATTATCATCTTAAGTAAATGTTGAAAAATCTGAAGATACAAGAGAAGTAAGTTGAAATTAAATTTTTATCGAGTTATTTTTAATTAATAATACCTATATAATTTATGTTTCTCTTTTTGCTTTGATAACGATATTTCCTTTTAGTTTCACTTTAATTTACACCAGAATTATAGTAAGATCGATCAAAGTAATTGACACATTTATAGCTCCCAGAAGATATCTTTGCAATAATTAACGATCGACGAGGATTAATTGCTTCGAATTGCAGATAGTGATAAATGAATTATTAGATATCTAATAATTAGATATCTAATAAATTAATCGATAGAAGATAAATCTATCCGTGATAATAAATTAATTAGTTAGAGTTAGAGAATTCGATAACTATTTTTTCGACAATTAGCCATTTATATATTTTGATTTTTCTCTGGTATCACCTTCCTACGGATTATCACAATTAATTGACAATCTGACCTTTACCTTCGTATAAGTAGTTGAAACGAGTTCCGTGGCTATCTCGATCGTTCGTTGGATAATCTTGATAGACAAAGGCCAGTTTTGCCAGACGATGCAGCTAAACACGAGCACAGCAAGTTACATAACCTCTTTCACCTGTCGTAATTCCTTCCGTTCCTTCGTAATTCAAATTTCTGGATAAGAAGAAAAATCGTATCGCGTAATTTCTGGGTCAAACAATGTTTCACGATATCGATATCAATCAAACAACAAAAAAATCCTCGCTTTGTTTCTCTCTAATCCGAGAATCCTCACTAGTGAAACAATGATGACAGGTTCAACTGCCATTCTCGATTCGATGCTATACCTCTACCTCCGTCGATAATAACTTTTTAAAACTTCTCGCGTTTTCTCGTGTTCTTTCCAATTTAATTTTTCAATTAATTTTCAATTTATTGATCTTTTTCTTCTCGCTTTTTCGATTTTAACTCTTTCAGTTTTTTTGAAACGAATATTATTTCATTCTACTTACCATATTTTATGCATTTTCTTTCTTCGAAGAACAAAAAAAAAAAAATATAATTTCAATATTTGATCTGTAGTTCGAGATTGTCACGAAAGCCAAACGAATTTCCAAAGGTGTCGCGAATTTGCAAAGATTGGTACCGACTATTTATTAAACGACACGCAACATGAAGAAAAAAAAACGTTTTTTTTTATTATTATTTAAGACTGCTTAAGAAGAAGGATTTTATCGGTCAAGGCACGCACTATTGCGAAGTATTCCGCGAACGAAAAGCGAAACTGCAACGATTACCGGCACGATTGGCCCCGGATATCGCGTGTCCTCGTGCCGCGACTCGTTTCGTTCAGGAACCTGGCCCAAGGCTGGTCTCTAGTTCCACCCTTGTACCACCCATGGTTATATTTTTATTTAGCTTATTTATTCAATAGAAACATAACGAAGCGTGAACGTGATGGAATAATAAACGTCGAAAACGTTTGAATAAATCTCTTATTTCTCGTTTGATTGATAGCGTGCATGTGACGTAATCGATCTCATAAGTGAAAAATGATCTTTTGAATGGAAAGAATATTTTGATAATTTATTTTTCATATTCTTAAAAAGATTTTTCGTGGAAAAAAATTGTTCTTTCTCTAAAATCAATATTTTTAGGTTAAGTGTAGAATCGTCTTTTTGATTTTTGATCAATTTGATATAATTGATCGTATCTACAAAAAAGATAAATAAGAGAGAAATGGAAATAGAATAAATGTAATGTAGAAACCTTTATTATATTGTCAAGATGAAAATATATATATTATTCATCATGAAATCTTTAGAAATTTGCGAAAGATGAAGTACAATAGATTTTGATGGGAAACGATCAATTCAGACGAAGCAAATTGTCTGTTTCTTGTCTTTATCAAAAATTCCACTCTTTTGAAAATATTTTGAAATTTTTATTTATTGAAAATAAAAGAAAAAAATATTCGTACGAAATCAATTATCGAACAGAAATAAATACGATAAAAGAATACTGTAAAAACACTATACTTTTCGTTATCAATCGAACAAATATATCAGAGAAGAGAAGAGAAACGATAACCGCGTCTCCGACATTCATTTCGATAATATTTCCGGCATTTTCTGGTTCCACTTCGCCACTTCTTTCCTCTCTCGGGAATACAACCAAACCTAACCTATACATTTCGTTTTTCTAACAAGATTTCGATGGAAGAATCAAATTGGTACCTTCTTTTTTTTGTTCTTCTTTTGTCACTTTTGAAATTCAATTATTTCTACAGACATTTACTGATAGAAATAAAAAAACTTATCAATCGCAAATTTCTTTATATTTACTTGCTCTTCGTACAAGCATATTCGAAAAATCACTAATGTATAGTGATTTTTAATTCTAACTTAATCTCATCAGAGGCACTATAAGCATCAAATATTTACACTTTCAAAGCATTAAAATAAAATATTATTAATTATTTCGAGTTTATTTTTAGTATTAAAGGATTTATTTACTTGGAAAAATTTTAATTTAAGAAACTAAATATATATATATATACGTATCTATTGAGAAACTTAACCTCTCAATAAATATATATATATATATATCTTATTATTTCTTTTTTACAAAGTAATAAAATATTAATGAAAAATTCGAAAAGAAAAGGATGAAAAATTTGAAATTGTAAAAAAAATTCTGCTCAATTCACATGACGTTCGCATTTTCCACGAAAACGCATCGAATATGTACAGGCACGTAGGAGAGGCGGGCCATTATTCGAGAGAACCGTCGGCCTCCTAATAACGGAGATACCGTCGTTGATTCGGTTATCTCGTTGTCATTCAACTGGATCGTTCCGTATTCCACCCTCGTCGTGGAATATCGGCAATTTTCAATGATCGCACCCGGCAAACGCACAATGCACGAAGAAACTCTATTAAATTTCACTGGGAAATGAGGCGTCACGCCACTGTCTCGATTATCGGTTCCGTTTTTCGCCGATTGCCTATTCCATTTCCAAATGTTTGCTTTAATTACTCGGAATTAGATCAATATTTTGATAGGTACATTTTTTTATTTTTCGAAAAAGGAAGTTAGAAATTAAAAAAGAAAAAATGAAAAATTTTTTAATTTATTTGTTTATATAGACATAAAATTCTGGTCTTTATGCAATTTTATATTTTTGTAGAGATTATAAGGTATTGATTTAACAAGATAAATAAATTTAAACATGTGAATTGTTTTATGAAAATATAATATGATATAATAAATTTGTTTTATGAAAAATATACAGAAAGTCATATAACAAGTTAAATATTCAAGTGTTGTATTTTGAAAATAATTAATACAATAAAATACAATAAAAAGTAATAAAGTTTAATCCAATATATGCAATATCAATAATATCAATAAAAAAATTCTTATCTGTAACCTTTTCGAAAATAAAGATATTTACATATATTTAAAGATTAATTATTTAACAAAATTCAAAAATAACTTTTTTTGTTAATCAAATATTTTTTTGGAAACACAACGAATAAAAAAAGAACATTGAAAAATAATCGAAAGATTTATCCATAAAGCTATCGAAGAAAGCAGAAACAAAACGAAAGAAAAAGGTGGAAGGGAAGGGGGGTCGTGACGAAATTTAATTAGTCACCGATAGAGTATGCGCAGAAGAATGCGCAGAAGTTTTCCTTCAGGTCGATTTTCAGATTTCATTCAATCACGAAAGAAAGAAAGAAATCCGTGCCACGACTTTTCGTTTTCTTTTTATTTTTCTTTTTTTTTTTTTTTTTCTTCTTCTAAATCACTCACTTTTTATTCTCTCTTTCTCTGTCTTTCTTTTTTTGCGTTTCAGTCATTGCTTCGAGAAAGGAACAAGCGACAAGAAGGCTGTGGAAAACAATTGTGAAGAAATTAATTAGGAAACGTGAACGCGTGGCGACAATTAGTGCACACGATTTCTCTGTTAACAGATCGATTTTTCAGTATTGTTTCGATCTCGGTTCACTCTGTCCTGGTAACCTTATCGCGCTCAAAGAATTCACCGTGCTCAAAGGCCAATCGCTCACTATATAATGTATAACGGTTATATATATATGTGTGTGTGTATATATATATGAATAAAAGTGTTTCAGAAGTTAGTGAATAAAACTTAATTGGAAATTTTTGAGATGATTTTCCTTTGCAAAAATTTTAGAGCGGATTTTTTAGAGCAGAAAGATTAACTAATTCAACTAATGTAACTTAACCTAACCTAACCTAATCTAAAACAATTCGATGTTATTGATTGAAATTATAATTCATAGATAAAGAATTTTAATTATTTAATTATTTGTGATAGGATAATCAGAAGATTTGTATAATATTTAACAATAAATATAACAAAGCTCACAAAATTGATAAAGAATAACGAGAGACGAATGTTCACTCATTTCTCGACCATCTACATGTTTTATTTGATTTATATTGACTAGAAAATTGAAATTCTTACTTCTTACTGCTCAAAATAGGCAAAAAAAGTATCGTGTAACTACTAATATAATCGTGATTATATCGCGATTTTCTGCACGAAAATCTAAACTCTTAAGATATCTAAGAATTTTCGATGGTACTAAATTTGAACACTTTTGACTTTAAACTAAGAGAGATTACAAGAAACGACTGATGCAAAACACTATTATTAAGTTAGTTGCAAATGATAAGATTAAACGATATGAAAATCCACTTATTTGTAATTGTATATTTTTTTTCTATTTTTACTACTTTATCCTTATTATTATAGCGAAGCCAATTCAAAATGTTTCATCTTCGATATTCTTATTCGACGTTTGCTGCATCTACAAATAAACCTCGACAAGAAGCTATGAAATCATTGTTTCTCTAAGTATCGGATAAAAAATCGAACGAGACAAATGGAACTCGCGTTAGGTGATCAAGTGACAGAGGCGAACAGAGGGCAAACATCCACTTCCGTTCTTCTTTCTCCTTTCATCCTCGTCACGATTCCCTGGGGCCAGAAATAGCGGCTTTGGGGAAAATTCGTGTCAAGCCGAGGGATGATCGCGTCCGCACCCCAACCACAAGCAATCATTTTCCACCCCCTCTTCCTTTTCAACCCCTGTTTTTTGTTAAGCCATCTCTTTTAAGGATCAAAAATAAAGTAGCGAAATTTTTTTTCTTATAATTTTTAATGACAAAGAAACGTTACCTACTGCCTATA